CTGGGGATGGGTGTGGGCGATGGGAGGGTTGCCGGCGGTGGGGGCAAAGCACTTTGGAGGGGGGTCTAAGGCCAGGTCCTCAGAGATCTGCTGGGCTTTACATGGCCTCTGATGCCCCCACACTCTGCCCTGAGCTGTGGTTCTAGGTGGCCCCCCTACCTGTCCCCCTCCTTGGGCCTCCAGCCTCCTGACCAGTGTTCCTGCCCTCAGAGCAGACCCCAGCCTCTGCCCAGGCAAATTTGGGTCTTCCTATCCAGGGGCAGGGTGAGGGGCTAAGGGGCTGTACAGTGTTACTCGTCAGGCTGTGCTGCCCAGCCCTGTTTGTCTGTGTAATTATTTTTGTAAAAATCGTATTATCTGTGGTTGCCACTCCCGTGCCCCCAGCCTTGGGCCCCCTCTGTCTTCCAGGCCTGCCTGCACCTCACTCGGCTGCTCTGGGGTCTCTGCACCTCATTCCAGCCCTGGCTGTCAGGCCCAGCCAGCAGAGGCCCATGACCCAGCAGCCTGCCCAAAGCACTAGTTTCTGGGGGGTAAGGGTGGGGCGCTGCTCAGCAAGAGGTTTGAGCCCAGAGCCCTGGGGAAGGGGACCTTACAGGAAACCCCCTTGCCCTCTCTCCACCAGGTGAAAGGTCCAGTCCTCCCAAACTGGGCTGCCCTTGTTCATGTGCCAAATGGCCCCAGCCCACGTGCCCCATCCCCTCTCTGGAGCCAGAGCTCCACCCCACCCCCCCAGCCCCGCAGTGTCCATCCGTCCGTCCTCTGTGCCCCTGTGTGCAGTGACAGCCCTGGAAGAGCCGCCTCTAATCCTCTGTAGCAATAACGGTGCACCAGCCACCCCGACCCCTCCGTGCACCACTAGGATTTTAAAGTCCATAGATTTTAATGAAATTTCTATTCCTGCCTCTGAGCTGCCACTGTGCTTTGTCTGAGTGCCCCCAGGGGCACAAGAGTCGGAGCTGGGATGAGACCTCTGCCGGCCAGGCCTTTGTGGAAGACCAGAAGAAGAAAGGCCAAAGGCCCTGATGGTCAGAACGAGACACCAGGGGCTTGGCGAGGGGGTGGGGCAAGAAGGGCCAGACAGATGGACAGCCCTGCATCCTGGCGAGGGCCCATCCAAGACTAGATCTGAAGCAGGCTGGGCCACAGCAGCTGAGAGGTGGCAGCGGCGGACGGGGTGAGTTCCAGCAGGAGCCGAAGCCTACTTCCCGGCCAGCCCTTCAGGTGGGGGCGTGGGGTGCCGCGCTGGACACTGGAGTGGACGCGGGCCTTTTCCCCGCGCTGCACTGAAGCCTCCGTCGCCCGCGGCAGGTGGCAGTCAGGCCTCGGGGGCAGCGCTCCGGCGGAGGGGCAGGCAGGCAGCCCTGGCGGGGCCCCCCCCAGCCTCCCACAGCCCCGCGGGGGCAAGGCCAGCCTCCGGGACCCTGGCTGGAGGAGTCCACGGGCTGCTGCCTGGGCAGGAAAGAGCAGCTGTGAGCGAGCAGCGGCCTGACCCTTCGGCCACCCTGTCCCGCCGTGCCGCCGCCCTGGCTGACCTGTGGCTGGAGGAGACACAGGACAGCCTCAGAGGGGCCTGCAGCTCCCGTCGCATGGCCGCCTTCTGTTCCTTCAGCTCTGCAGGAGAGGCGCCTCTGAGACACAGCACCCAGCAGCTCTGGGGTGTGTACAAGTGTGGCATGGGGAGCAGGAGGCTGGGGGCCCTGGGGCCTCCTTGGGGTCCTCACCTGCCAGGGTGGGCTCTAGGGTTGCCTCGGAGGGCTGGGGGGCCCCTGTGTACTCCTCTTCCAGGCAGCGCTGCAGGGAGAGCTGGCTCAGTGCCCCGGCCTTAGGCAGGGGTGGGGCAGGGCAGGACCCCCAAACTGGCTCAGGCAGTCCCTGGTCGGGGGGGACACTAGCCCCCCTGAAAAGCCCAGCTTGGTGAGGTGGTGGCTGGCTTGGACTCAAAACTTAGGGAAGGTAAGGAAGCAAAGACAGGGACAAATTCAGCAAGTTAATCTAAAAGTGCTGACCTTGGGCTAAGGGGCTCAACCAGAATCTTCTGGATTCACACATACAGGGATGGTGTACACGTGAGAAATGGCCACAGGACTCACACACACCTTTCCATGCACATATGCACACAGACACACACGCACGTGGCTCTCATGCACCAGGTAAGAGGCAGCGGTGTCTACACTCAGCAGAAGGGCTCTGGGCAGGGAGGCCCAGGGCTGCAGCTCACCTGCAGGGTGGGGATCATCCTCTCCAAGGTGTGACACTCCCCCTCCAGGAGGCTCCTGGGACACATGGAGGATGGCAGCCGCGACCAGCTCCACAGGACCCAGTCTCAGCTGAGCCCTCCACCCAGCCCCTAACCTCCAGCCTCCCCGCCTCCAGGCCCTCCCGCCTCAGCCCGCCCTGCTCTCTGTGGCCGGGTGCTGCCCGCAGCCTTCCACCCCCACCAGCCTCCGCCAGGGCAGGATGTGTCCTCCCCGTGCCTACCTCACAGTGCCCATCATCCTCTCTTCTGCATTACGGCAGGGGCCTCCTCCAGCCTCCCTTCTCTCCCGCATCACAGCCCCTCCCCTGCTTAAAACCCTTCCATGGTTCCTCAGGCCTCAGAGCCTGCTGGCATCCCTGCTTGACCACTTCCTGGCAGCAACCACAGCGGCCCTGCAGCAACCTGCCCTTGCCACCCCTCAGCCTTCCCTTCCTGGTCTCCCCACCAGGTGTGTGGCCACCTTCTCCTCTCCCACAGTCCAGTCCCGGTACTTCAAGACCTGTCCCGGCCCCATCCACCCTGTGTCCATCCCCACCACGCACACTCAGGGGCCTCACCGCAGGTGTCCAGCAACCTGGTCGATGCTGGACACATTCAGCTGGTCCTTGATGACGCTGAGGTCCCTCTGACTGCTGCTGGCAGATGAGGTCAACGTTACTCTCCCCATGTTGACTCACCCCAGGCCTTCAGGACACAAGTGCCACTTCTCCTAGACAGTTCTGTGTCTTTTCTCGCAAAGGCAACATAGTATAGTGCAAAGGGGAGGAGTTCTGGAGCCTGGTTTGCAAATGGGCTCTGTCACCCTTCAGTGTGTGTGACCTTCGGCAAGTGGATTATCCCTTCTGAGCTTTAGTTCCTCATCGGTAAAAGGGGGCCATCATTCTCCCAAAGGGTTGTGTGAGAACTAGAAATAAGTTGCTGCTGCCATTCACTTATGAACACGCTCCTGCTCCTTTATCTCATTCAGTCCCCAGCTCTCCCTAGCCCAGCTCTCGTTGATCCCTGCATGTGGTTGTAGGAGGTCCAGCTCCAGGCCAGGAACTTCTCCGTGGAGCCACGTGGAACCCACCAGCTGGCTGGGGTCTGCTGCCAAGCAGGGACAGATCCCTCCTCTCCTGCCACCACTTTACCTGGGTTCACCAGCTCTCATCTGCAATATGTCCTGTTCTGGCAAATCACACCTAGGCTCCTCCAAGGCAAAGCGCAGGACCCTGGGGCTATACTGGACCCAAGCCTGGGTCTGGTCCCTGCAGAAGGTGCACTGAAGGTAATTTAGGGGCTCCTTCCAGGGAACCATCAAAGGCAATCCTGGCCCCTTATCAGGCGCAGGGCTAGCCCCTCTTAGTTCTGCTGCGGGGTCTAGCCCTAGCCCTAGGTCTGAGGTTCCCACCTGCCCTCGCAGATGGCCTTCTGGCGGAGCCCCAGGAGCAGCTGCCTCAGTTCCTGGCGCACGAGGTCTCTTAGGAGGGGCGGTGGTGCCAGAAGGGAGGAGGGGTCAAAGGTGGGGCGGGAGCCAGAGGCTTGGGAGGATCGAGCCTCTTGGAGCAGTGACTGTAGCATCACCACCTGCAAGGAGAGCTGGGACACCTTGCGACTGGGGAGAGAAGTGACGGGAGTGAAGGGGGCTGGGGGACTGAGGGGCAGAGCGGAGTCAAGAGGGCTGGGAGGACAGTGAGATCCGGCAAGATCTCGAGAGCTATCGGGCAGGACTAGGGACCCGGAGGAGGTGGGGAAATCACCCGAGTCGTGGGACAGGCCTGGAGTGTGGCCCATCTGCCCACTCCCCACCTCTGCCCGCAGCTCCAGGCTCAGGTCCACCGTCGTCTCCCCCAGAATCCTCTTCACTTCGGGCCGCTCCGGGAGCGGAACGTGTTCCTCTACCAGCTCCCACAGAGACGGGGAGTCCCGGAGCATGGCCCGCCCGCGCCGCCGCCCCCCGTTGAGCGGCCCCAGGCTCGCACCTGCGGGAGAGCAGGTGGCGGCGCCGCGTTACCGGGAGAAGGCTGGTCGCCCAAGGCTGGGCCCCGCCCACCCGCGCCCCGCCCCTTCCCGGCCTCACGGGCCACGCCCCCAGCCCGTTGCGCTCCCCGGCCTCTCCCAAGCCCCACCCTTGTTCTGCCACCAGTCTCAGCGACTGGAATTACCCGGTCCGGAGCCGCCGGTCTCTGGCGCTGTCCCTTGTGCCCCGCTTCTGGCTGACTCTCGGGGGCCGCTGTTCCCGGTCACGGCCCCCAGGAGCCGGGCAGTGGGGACCCGGGCCCTAGCCCCGCCTCTTCCGCGCGGCCGTCACCCGGGAAACCGCGCCGCTACCCAGGCTCCGCCCCCAACGATTCCAGGTGGGGTGGGCGGTACCAGCTAGCCCGGAGTCGGACCCACCGCCGCGAGGGGTGGTCTGGGAGAGTCCGAACCATCCAGAATCCTGGTGCCAAGCTCTCTGGGCTCGTCTCCGGGCAGCTTTCGGTTTCGGGGCAGGTGGGAAGAGCCGAGAAATCGGAGCCCACTGGGGTTGTTATTACTTCGTTGCCTCTCGTGGCCTGGAGGCAGAGGCTGGGTAAACCTTTCCTCAGGGTCGGCGGAAGTCTCGCGAGCGGCTGCTCTTGCAGAGGCCTGGGGAACCAGGACAGCCCGGGCCACCAGGACAGCCCGGGCCAGACAGACCGAGAAATTGGTGGTGCCCTCCCACAACACACACCGGGTCTGGAATCTGGGCCCAGATTCCCTAACCTCAAGCAGACAAAGGGGCTGCTCCATTCACGTTTTTTACTAAAGCACCCACACAAGTTTCTGTGCAATGTACAAACAACGAGCCGGCCCTGGGGGCTACTGCCTTCTCTCTGAGACAGGGAGGCGGGAACCAGACTGACTGATCTAAGCCCCACCCGCCCCCCATGCAAAGCTCAACCCCAAGATCCCAGGCAGCGACACAGCACCCCCTCTGGTCCCCTCCTGGGGCTGCTCCTCAGCAGGGGGCGCACCAGAGTTTGCCCCTACAATGTTGAATGAAAAAGGTTTCCCCTCCCCTGGGAGCACGGGGGATCCCCAAGTCTGAGAATTCCCCCTGGAAGCGACACTGCCCCCTAGTTGTACCTCCCACTCTTCCAGGCCCTAGGGGACTCAAGGGGGGAGAAACTGAGGCACAGAGAGGTGGAGTGACCTAGCCCAGGCCACTCGGTGAGGCAGTGCAGGGGCTGGCCCGACCCTGACAGTGAGGGAGGGCTGGGCTGGGGAGGGAGGAGCAGAAGAAGGGTTGACCCCAGAGAGGGCCACACTGGAGGGGCTTGCCCAGGTTGGAAGTCCCCCAAAGTAGGTTCTGAAACTTCCAGGTGCAGCTGGGGGGGGCCTATGGAAGACCCTCCGAAAACAGAGCCCATAGTCTCAGTCCTGGGGGATCCCCCACAGAGTAGCCGCCAGCCAGGCTATATAGGTCAGTCCTCTGGCAGGCAATCCTTGGCACTGGGAGCCTTTGTCCATTAGCATCAGCCCCGAGGGGGCCATGATGGGGGCCGCCCAATGTCCACTGTGATATTGGTGAAAAGTGGTTGCCGAGACACCTCCAAGACCTGGTACCGCACTGACCCGATGCCATCCCGCTTCATGGTCAGCTTCGTGTTTTGAATCTTGGTAAACCTAGATAGGATGGAAGTGGGTCCAGATCAGGGCTACCCAATAAACCAAATATGGGATCTCTGGGGCTAAGGCTCAAGCCACCCTGGCTTCTTCCAGGGATGACTCGGTTCTCACCAAACCCTCTGCCCGTCACCTGCTTGGAGCCCTTTTGCTCTGGCATCTGCCTTCAAAACAGAGATCTTACCCCCTTGAGTCCAGAACTGTGACACCCTCACAAATCTCCTTCTGAGCTCATGTTCTTCTAAGCCTTAGACCCAGACACGGGCATCCCATAGGCACCTCAAAGGCAATGTGTCCTGTGTTGGATCATCGTCTGTACTCCCCAAGACCCTCTTCTCTTTGCTATCTTCTCTGTCCCCCACCACTTACTTAATGAGCAGTGCCCAAGTGCCAGGCTCTGCTCTTAAGTAGCAGGGGCCCAGTCAGGAACAGGACAGTAAGTCCTCCCTCTCATGGCAAGTCTGTTCCACTAGGGGAGACAGGTAACAGACAAGGAGCACACCAGAATGCTAAGGGAGACAGGGGAGGGAGACCAAGATGGTTGCCTTGGAAGGGGTGAGCGCACGACACCAAGCTGACAGCAGGGGGAAGGGCATTCCAGGCCGAGGTAAGCACAGGCTGACCCTAAACTGGAAATGAGATTTTGAACAGCCAGTGGTTTGAGCTTAATGGGCCAAGGGCGTAAGAACAGCTTGGAGGCTAGAGCATGTAGGGGTGGGGCTCTGTAAGTCAGAGGATGCAGTTTTTTTTATTTCTAGGAGTGAGAAGACGGGGATTTTTAGCCCAGTGGGAGGCATGCGGGGAGGGCCAGAGGACAGGAACAATAGAAGGACGAGGGGGAAACAGGGAAACTAGGGAGAGGCCACTGCAGGAGTCCAGACAAGAGGACAGAGGCTGTGCTTGGGCAGAGGGGGTGAAGGGAAAAGCGGACGGGCTCAGAGATGTTTGGGGAGTGGCACTGACAGGACCTGCTGATGGTTTAGACACGCAGGGTGAGCGAATGAAGAATCCAGGAGAACTAGATTTGAAGCAAAAGCAACTAGGTGGATGGAACCATTCATTTCTTTAAGCCAGAAACGCCTTGCTGTCTTGCCACTTCCTCACCCAAGGTCGACATCACTCATTCATGACGACACCGAGACCTGACACAGGACCAAGGCTCCTGGCATGTGCTTCTGGAGCTCCACTCCCACCCTCATCGCAACTGTTTTGATCCTCCCGGTCTTTCTGAGCTTAGCTCAGATCCCTCTCCAGAGCCATCCCAACACCGAGCACTCTCCTTCGGATGCCCTGCAGCCCCTCTTCTCCCTTCCCTGCTTGCCCTGTTTTTTTTTTTTTATCTGAACTGTTTTTTCATCAGCTCCCTGGATGCCCAATGCTTCATGCTCCTGCCAAAGGCCAACCCTCCACTGGTGCTGCAGCCTACCTCCCCACTCTTACACCCTGCCTTCAGAGCAGAACAACCCTACTGTTTCGTCTGGGCACGCGGCAGCCTCACGCCCAGCACACCCCTGGGCCCCGTGACTCCTCCAAACCTGGTCAGCTTCCTTCCTGGCCCACCAGCAGCTCTGCCAGCCCTTCTTCACCTTCTTCAAACTCAAAGGGTGATCCTTTCAAACCCAAATCTGATCCTGCCCCCTTCCCTGCTTAAAGCTCTCCCATGACTCCCCAGTGCCCCTGGGACAAAAGTGAAACTCCCAACCTGGGATCCGAGACCCCAAACACCCAGCACCGACCCCACTACTGTCACTCCCAGCCCTCAGTGACTATAATACCAGAGTCCCAGACTCTTAACTTATACCAGGCATGTTCACATTCCAGACTCCTGCAAATACCATTCCTTTTCTCCAAACTGGCCTCCTCCACTAGCCTGGTGATTACAGCACTGTGCCCAAGGCAGGTGTGTGACAAACACGTGCGGAATGAATGATCTTTCAAACTCCGGTTTACCATCACCTCCTCCAGGAGGCCTCCCACCATCACTCCTTCTTCTGCCAGGGCAGCACCTTGCCCTGATCACCTGGTGCTGTAACTGCCTGTCTCCCTCGCTAGAGTGAACTTCACATGGGCTGTCAGGGACTGGCTCTGGGCTCCCCCCGACCCAGCCCCCATCCCCCAGGTTAGAGCAGTGCCAGGAAGCCCTTGTCTACACTGCACATGCCCTTGGGTGCCTCTCCCAGCCAGCGCCAGCGCCAAATGTTGCTACATCCTCAGGGACGGAGAGGCCTGCTCCAGGCTCAGAGGGATCAGCACTGTCTGTCTGCACCCTGCCCCACGTTGCTCAGGCCACCTTTGTTGGGTCCCCAGGCCCAGGAGCTGTGCCCAGTGCCTGCTCCCTCTTGTCCTATCCCCTCTGGCACAAGGGAGGTCTGTGAGGACACCGACGGGAATGTAATCTACTCAGGGATGATTTGAACTCTGCCTTTACATTTTTGTCACCTCTAGGAATTAGGCCAGGGATGACCGAAGTCTGGGGTGAGGCTGAGCTAGAGGTCGGGGATCAGGGATCAGGGGTCTGGGAGTCAAGGGTTCAGGGGCCTTGGGAATAACGTCTAGGGATCAGTGGCACTGGGGAGTCCCTTCTAGGGAGTAAGGGATTAGGGGCACTTGGGGTCACCTCTGTGGGTTGGGCTCGTTATGCTTGTCCCGGTCGTGCTTGATCATGCGGTAGCGGCCTATGCGGATGTCTGGGCGCGAGATCTTCATCCCAGTCAGGGAGATCCTGGGGATGGGGACAGACGGGCTGGAGCAGGCACCAGGAAGGGCAAGGAGCCTCGCCCGGTCTGCACTGCATCTTCTGCACCCAGTCTACTCCCTGCCCCGGCCCTACTCACCGGTTGAAGATGTCGTCATCCTCGCCACCCCAGCCCCAGTACTCGTTGGGGAAGCCGTTGATTCTCAGAAACTGGGCTTTACTCAGGCCTGACACGCCTCCAAAGTAGCCAGCATAGGGCAGCCTGTGGCACGAAGGGCACGTGTCAGCTGAGGGGCCGGAGGGGATTCCGGGGGGAAGGCCAGAGATGGGTGAGGGGCCAGGAGCAAGGGGGTGCTGGGTGCGGTGCGGACCGTCAGGCCGGGGAGTCTGGGTCCAGCTGAGAAGGGAGCCCTCACCGGAAACCAAACTTGTCCATGGCAATGGCGAAGTGGCGGGGCTGGTCACCACAGCGGTACAGGTTGCGGTCATCCATGGGGACCAGGTCCACGTCACTGAAGATGAAGCAGTCGTACGTGGCGTCCTCCTTCAGCGCCTCTAGGAAGCCTACATTGAGCAGCTTGGCCCGGTTGAAGGTGTCCTCGCCGTGCTGGGGGTGGGGCAGGGGACAGGTCAGCTCTGGGCCTGTGACTGGCAGGCACCTGCCACTTTACCACTGTCCAGAGCGCTCCCCAAGGGGCTCCTACTCCCTGCCTGCCCCCACCCCACTGAGTGGCTTCCCTAGGTCCTGCCTTCCAAGGCCTTCCAGGACTTGGCTTCAGGCTCCTCTCCCACTGTTTCCCTCAGACCCCAAGGCCCAGCTGCACTATGTTCCTCAGCAGCCCCGGAACACGCCAGACTCTTTACTGCCTCAAGGCCTTGCTGTCAGCTCTGGAATGCTCTCCTCTGACGGTCAAGCTTGTGTGTGGACAGGCATCCATGCTCACACCTCCCTGCCTCCGCGTAATCATTCCTTCTGTCCTGTGAGCTTCACTTAGTGTCCCGTTACACTGTGACTTAAGAGCGCTCGTTTCGTTCATTCTTTCACCCCTCACTCCAGCAGGCCCTATAGTCCTGTCCTGGGCGCCAGGCATCTTCTCTGTGCCAATGGGAGCCTTAGAGAAGAGCAGCCCTGAGCCCACTGCATCCCTGCTGAGCACACTCACAACATGAGATGAACGGTGAATGCCCCAAATAACCAGTGTCGAAGACAAAGAAACCATGGGTACTGAGCCACTGAGCCTCAGCCACCTATCCCTTCTGGCTCATCTGGATCCACATCCAGCTTCCCGTGCAGCCTCTGAGACCGGGACAGGACCTGGCTAGATTCACTTGTCTCCCCAGCAAAATGCCAAGCACAGGGTGTACAGGCAGTCATGGCCCAGTGAGCCGGGGGTCCCCTGAGAAATGGGGCTGCAGGCCAGACCTCCTGGAGGTGGGGTTCCTGGCCACGCATGCCCATGCTCCAAATTCTAGCCAGAGCAAGGAGGATCCCATGGAAGGAGCTGGCCGCTGGGCTCCCTGTCCCAACCCACCATCTCTAGGGTGGAGCTAGACCGGCCCGGAGAGGGGTCTCTAGGCGGGCCCCTCCAGAGGGAGAGGAGGAATCACGGCCCCTCCTTCCCACCAGCCAGCCTGGTCCCGACGGGGTGGGAGCGGCTCACCCTGCTTGCTCTCTTTCCTTGCCCTGCACCTTCCCTCCCACCAGCCCTTGCAGCAATTGTGCATTTTCTCCTGGCTCATCGGCTCTCCTTTCTGACCTTTCTCACCAGCCAGGAGCCCTGAGTTTCTCCCACGCGGCTCATAAACATGCCCAATTTTACCCCATCTGAAAAAGAAACCTCTCTAGCCACGGCCCTACCTTTGCCTCCCCTTCTCGGCAGAGTGGTTTTTTTTTTTTAAAGAGTTGCCTCCAATTGGCTATTTCCATTTTGTCAAATCTGATTCCTTCTTCAACCCACTGCAATCTGCTTCCGCCCCCACCATGCCCCTGAAATGGTTCTCGCTGGGCCCACCTTGTTGCTAAATCCACTGGACGCTTCTTAGTCCATATCCTTCCTCCCCCGGCAGTGCTCACGTAGCTGCCGTGCTTCCTTCTGGACACTTATTCCTGGGCTTCGGGGACACCACACTCTCCTGGGACTCCCCGAACCTTTCTGGCCAACCTTCCCAGTCTGTGGTGCTGTCCCTTCCCCCACCCATCCCTTACATGCTGGCTTTCCCCTCTCAGGCCCCGTGCTCCCCGGGCAGGCTGGACATTGTTGGCTTTAGGGACCATCCGCATGCTGGTGGCTCCCAGATCCCTCTCTGCACCTTAGACCTCGCTGCTGGGTGGACTCATGGGTCCAACTGCCGGCTGAACATTCCTCTCATACTTCACCCGGACACTCAAACTCATCCCATGCAAAAAAGAATTCAGAGTCAAGCTCTCCCCCAGACCTGGCCAACCCCCTGTGTTCTCACTCACAGGTGCAGCTAACCACACAGCAAATGGCCAAGAAGAACCCTCGAGGTGTCTGGCGTCTCCCTTTCCTTACTCTCTACCGTGTCACATCTCTCCCACTGCAGCCGACCCACACACAGGTTCACTGTCTCTCTCCTGAACATCGTAGCCTCTTTGCAACTGGTCACCCCGCCTCCAGTCTCCCCCGCTCCAACCCATTCTCCACTTGCAACCAGAGCCATCTTCTCGATAAACAAGTGTACATGCTACTCCTCGCTTAAACCCTTCCAGGGGTGCCCCTGCCACCTTGAGGCTGGAGTGCAACTGCTTCGCATGCCTCCGGAGACCCTTCTGGATTTGGCCTCTGCCAGCAACTCCAGGCTCATCTTTGCTGCCCACCCTACACGCTGGACCCCACACCTCGGCCAACGGTTCCCCAACACACGAGACCGGTTCTCTGGATGGGGTCTGGGGCCTCCAGTCCGTCTGCCGGCTCATGCCTGTTCCTCCCTCAAGACCCATCTCAACTGCCACTTCTCCACCCCAGGGCTGGACAAGGCCCCTCTGTGCCCCCACAGCCCCCTGCTCCAACTCATCCCACACCATCGTCCTGGAGTCTACAAGGATCCAAGTCCAAGTGTGGGAGTCGTAAGTACGGAAAGGAGGACCCACATCAGATCCTCCCCGGGGCCCAGCAGCCAGGCCCCTCCAGGCCCAGGGCAGGGCTGAGACACTGAGCTGAGTTCCCGGGCCTCTGCTGTGGCCGTGGCCCTCACGCAGACCTCATCCCTCTCCCAGGCTCTAAGTTCCCCTCTCCAAGGGCTTCTCCACAGCTCCTCACAGCCAGCAGACCCTAGGTCTCACCTCCATGGGGCGGGGCCCGCCGAAGGTGGACCGGGGGGCCCATCCCCGCGGAGGCTGCGCACACACCCGTTGGCGTGCGCGCTCCCCTTCCCGCACCCGCAGACCCGCCCATGGGAGCAGGGACACACACGCAGCCGCGCTCGTACGGTCACTCATGCACACCACCAGGGGCGGCCACGAAGCCACGCAGGCTCCCAACCCCACTCATGCGCCGGGAGGCCCGGGGCGCTCCGGGGCCCTCTGGTGGCTAGCGCCCAGCCTGGGCCGCGGGCAGCACACCTGGTTGATGACGTAGACGCCGTAGCGCAGCCGCTGTCGCCTCAGGATGGGGTGCAGGTAGTGGAGCCAGTAGCGTAGGTGGTGCTCCCGGTGTCGAAAGGGGATGATGACCGCCACCGTCTGGGCAGGCGTGCAGTCGGGCGGCGCATAGCGGCCGCCCAGGAGCACGCCCGGGTTCTCCCTCTGCACCCGCTCCAGAGGCATGGGCGAGGTGAACTCAATCAGCAGCCGGCCCACTGCAGGCGGGACGGGAGCAGGAATCAGGCCGCCATCGGAACCCAGGGACGCCAGCCCTCTCCCTCAGCCCCGCGGTAGGCCAGGGAAGCCCAGCAACAGCCCCCTCCCAACAGACCCGGAGCCCCTGCACCCCCGTGGCTCATTCCCCAAGTCAAAACGGCCAGGTCTTCTGCCCACCCCTCGAGGCAGGCCCGACCCTGCAGGCTCACCAAGACCAGGCGGCGAGTCAGAACAGGGAGGCAGGGCGGGAGCCGTGGGGCCGGGCCGGGCACTGGGAGCCTCGGGGAGCCCGGAGCTGGGGGCGGTGGTGTTGGGCCGAGAGCAGTTGGTGCTGCTGCTGGCAGCTGGGTGGAGGGCACGGGCAGGGCCGCGGGCACTGAAGCGGCTGAAGAAGGCCAGATGCTGGGCGTAGACGTCGAAGTAGAGGATGACCGCCACGAGAAAGTGCAACAGGCAGAGAAGGAGCACAGCCTTGCACACGCGCTCCAGCGTGCCCCCCAGCAGTCTGCTCATCCCGCAGGCGGCCGCCGGCCCGCCCGATGGGCCCGGGCATCCGGCTGCCGGCCTGAGCAGGGGGAAGGGAGAAACAGACCCAGCAGGTCAGGGCCCGATGGGCAAGGCTACCCCCCCACCCCATCTGCCTGGTGCTCACCCTCACAGACCTGCATCCTCACACATTACCTGCTCACACCCTGTGACACTCACGGACTCCCATTCTACCTGCAAAGAGACACACGGACACAGTCCCCAGCAACTCACTACTCACACATTGTCACACACCTGAGTACTAACCCACGTATGCATACATTCCTATTCTTGCTGACACACACGCACACAAGCACAACCTCATGCCCCCTCACACTCAAGGTGCATGCCCTTATCGTGTGACTCAACACACACCTCTGTGTGTTCTCAGAAACATGAACACATGGCCTCTGATCACGGTGGTTCATACCTCCAAATGGAAACACATTTACCTGCAGACCCACATGTGTACCTGTGCCCCAGAGAACAGACACCCCACAGGGCACCATCCTCAACCCAGGACTCTTGGTCTGGGGAGGGGCGACCATTTACTGAGTACCTACCATGCAGGAGCGCTTGGTACTCATGACTTCAGTCAGTCCTCCCAGGAGCCTGGTGGGCAGTGGTTTGGTTGGACAGGTACCAGTGACAAGTAGGCCAGGCCAACTAGGACCAGGCTGGGAAGTGGCCCTCAGTATCCAGGAGGCCCAAATATGAACAAGATGTTTATGGGATTCTTTCCCTCTGGAGCGGAAGGTCAAAATACAGGGAGGGGCATAAGACACCCTTCCTCCAAGACCTCAAGGATTGGGATGAACTTTCTGGAGTCTGCCCAGCACTGCTGGCTCTGATTTCGGGAAGAGGGACCGTCTGGGCCCTGGAGACAGGTCCAGCACCAGCATGGCAGGAAAGGGCCTGGCCTGGGCCACGGCTCCAGCTGCAGTTCCAACAGAACAGCACTCCTGGCAATGCTTCAGGGGGCGGGCTGGGTCTCAGAGATACACAGCACCACACAACCCCAGCCACCATGGGTCCCAGCTAAAGTCACCTGCACTCAGACACACTGAGAACTACAGAGTCAAAGACACACCCCAGTGACAGTAACAGTAACGCAGAGTCACACACTCAAACAAAGCCGCTGCTCCTCGACGCACACAGCCATGCATGCAGGCTCCCGGGCGGCCCAGACGCCCGGCCCCACGTGCAAACATTCCCACCCCTCCCTCCGGGGCAGGGGTTCTGGGTCAGGCTGGCGGCCAGGCTGCGAGGTGCGTTAGGGCGGGGCTGAAAGGCAGACCGGCCTGCACACGTGGCTGCCCGGCACGGGGGAGGTAGCGAAGACTGGGTGGGTGTGGAGCCTGGGCGGGGGGTGGGG